CTAGTTGGTCTGCGCCACCACACGCAGTGGTGTGGGGATGGGGATGCAGGGGTAGAGACTGTCACATCTCTCTTTCTGGAGTATGCCTTTGAGAAGAAAGTCTGGAGGAAGATGCAGTGATTTGTCGAGGTTCATCCTGAGCAGCTCTGTGATGTGGGACTCAGCTCTACAATCTGTTCACCGGGACGCACACACAGACAAACCTCAACTGCGCCTGAAGGACCATCTACTCTATGAAAGACGCTCTTTGGTCTGCCCGAAACTTCTTGTTCTGAAGACCAACGAGTTGACTCCAACTGTGTGGCAGAATGGCACATTCTAAGGTCCAAGACTACATGCAGAGGGGTACACTAAAGCTTGGGGCAGCTGCTGCCAAGGTGTAGTGGGGAAAGACCACCGTCTGAGGTCTTCCTGCTGAAGTTAGTTTGGGGTCTATTCAGTTATCAGACCTCTTAGTGCCTCAAATGCATATAAATATGGTCTTGTTTTATATAAGAGGGGTCTTTGGTTCGTTTGGATTGAATCAAACTCCAACATTTGTTTCATTGATATGCTACTGTATAGAACTGAACTGCATTTGGGGTGATGTATTACTACAAAGATATTTTTTATGAATAAAGTGTATTGTTGAGACAAAAAAAAATTAGTGTAACAATGTCACCAACACATGGTGCCATTTTAGGTACAGAGTTCCATGGTAAATTCCTTAGTTACAGAATAGAGAAAAGAAGAAAAAGAAAGAGTTATACTACAGCAAAACACAGTACAACCAGATCAGAAAACAAAAAGCAAAGTTTAAAAAAATCTCAGTCTCTCTCCAAGGGCTCTCCCCAGACCAGCACACAGGGCCTTCACATGGTCCGACAAGTGGCTGCTGTCACTCTGCACTGGGCTGCTGTTTGCTGGCAGCCCTGCTCCAGAGGACGGGACCAGGTGTCCAAGGCCGAGAGAAGGGAGGAAAAGAGGGAGAAAAGAATAAAGAGAATAGTTGGGGCAAATGAGCTCCGGCTGGAGCGGCCTACTTTGCTACCTTCTTACTGGAATTTTCTCAGTTCTCAGGATACAGGATTGCTAATAAAGCCAGATTTACAGTTCAGCTCTGTAGCGAGTAGAGGTGGGTTGCCCTTTTGAACTGCTGCATCCGTGTGCTGAAAGACTTGCAGCGCTTTGATATAACTGAGTGGCTGACTTGTCCATTTCACAGGGCTATTAACCACATATGAGAGGCAAGACTAGTGGATTTCCAATAGTACCAGCTGGAATTTTACTCAACAGCTTTGTGGTTTCTTACTTCCACACGTTAACTCATATTCTTAAACTGCCACAACGGATTGTGAACTCAAATCCTCTGTCATACTAATCCTGCAGAAGAACTGTATTCTTCCACAATCTGTAAACTCAGGACAGGCCTATCCTGCATTCTACCAAGACATTAAGCCAGGGACCAGGGTTCAATGAGGAACCTGTCAAGTGTAGCATAAGGCATACCTAGAAATGAAATGCCTCTTGTAAACTACAACAGAGGACAGTGAGCATATTTGATCACATCAAAACTCTGCAGTTCTTCCACAAATCAATCATAAATGGTGACTGACAAGCATCCGAGAGGTGACAACACAAATATTCCTATCCATAATAATGATGGTGCCTAGAAAATTATTCCAAAAGGCAACTCTAAAGCACTTGTTATCTACCTTCAGCCAGCTGTTTGAGTGGATGGTCCATCGCTGTCTCTGCAGTCTCGTCAGACTGAAGCAATCCATGTTCATAAGCAACAAAATCTGGACAATATCCAGCCTTGGGTTGACAAATGGTAAGTAGCATTTACACCACACAAATGTCAGACAATGTTCATTTCTAATAAGAGAATATCTGACCACCGCCTCTTGTCATTCAATGGTGTTACTATCAATGAATCCTTCATCATCAACTTCCTGAGCGTTACTATTGCTTATAAATACAATGGCTACAAGAGTAGGTCAGAGGTTGAGAATACTGCAACAACTAAATCACCTCCTGACTCCGTAAAGCCTGTCTGCAAGGTACAAGTCAGGAAAGTGATGGAATATTCACGACTTCCATGGATGAGTGCGGCTCCAACAACACTCAAGAAAGTTAACACCATCCAGGATAAAGCAGCACGCTTGATTGGGACACATCCATAAGCACCCACTTCCTCTACCACTGATGTTCAGCAGCAGTAGTATGTACTGCCAACAAGATGCACTGCAGAAATTCAGCAAAGATCCTTGGACAGCTCTTTCCAAACCCATGATCACCTCCATCTAGAAGGAGAAGGACAGCAGTTACAAGTGAGTACCACTGGAAACACATCACCATTTCTTCAGTGGCGCTGGTTTAAAATCCTGGAGTTGCTTCTTTAAAGGCATTGTGAATCCAGTTACAGCACATGGACTGCAGCGATTCATGAAAGCAGCACACCTTCACCTTCTCAAGGGCAACTAACGAGAGGCAATAAATACTGGCTAGCTGGTGACGACTATGTCCCATGAGCATATAAATTTTAAAAATTGACTGGTGGCCTTTATTTCAAAGGGAATGGAGTACGGGAGTAGGGAGGTCTTGAAACTATACAAGGCACTAGTCAGATCACAACTGGAGTATTGTGAATAGTTTGGTTCCTTTAACCAGGGAAAGATACGCTAGCACTGGAGGCAATCGAGACAAGATTCACTCAGTTAATTCAGATATGGGATATTCTTGTGAGGAGGGACTAACTAGGTTGGGCTTATACTCATTGGAGTTTAGAAGAAGTGACAGGAGACCTTGAAGTCACATAGTATCAGGGGTGAGTTGGTAAGATGGATACAGAACTGGCTTAGTCATAGGAGAGAGGGTAGCAGTGGAAGGATGCTTTTCAGAATGGAGGGTTGTGACTAGTAGTATTCCACAGGGATCAGTGCTGGGATCTTTGCTGTTCATGGTCTATGTAAATGATTTGGAGGAAAAGGTAGCTGGTCTGATCAGCAGGTTTGCAAATGATACAAAGATTGGTGGAGTTGCAGATAATGAGGAAGATTGTCAGAGGATACAGCAGGATATAGATCAGTTGGAGGCATGGGCAGAAAAATGGCAGATGGAGTTTTACTGGACAAATGTGAGGTGATGCATTTTGGAAGGTCAAGTACAGGTGGAAATTATACAGTGAATGGCAGAACCCCACGGAGTATTGATGCGCAGAGGGATCTGGGTGTGTAGATCCACAGATCACTGAAGGTGGCAGCACAGGTAGATCAGGTAGTAAAAAAGGCCTATGACATTCTCACTTTCATTGGAAGGGTATAAAGGATAGACAAACTATGCTGCAGATTTATAGAACTTTGGTTAGGCCACAGTGGAATTTTGTGTACAGTTCCAATCACCACACTACCAGAAGGATGTGGATGCTTTGGAGAGGGTACAGTAAAGGTTTACTAGGAGTTTGCCTGGTATGGGGGATTTTAGCTATGTAGAAAGGTTCGATAGACTGCGTTTGTTTTCACTGGAAAACAGGAGGTTGAGGGGGTGACCTAATAGAAGTTTAAAAGATTGTGAATGGCATGGATAGGGCAGAAAGTATGAGGCTTTTTCCTAGGGTGGAGGGGGCAATTAGAAGAGGACACAGGTACAAGGTGCATGGGGGTTGGGGGGACATTTAAAACAGATAAGAGAAGCAGGTTTTTCACAGAAAGGGTACTGAGTGCCTGGAACCTGCTACCAGAGGAAGCAGACACAATAGCAGCATTCAAGAAACACCTGGACAAGTACATGAATAGGAAAGGAATAGAGGGATACAGATCCTGTAAGTGAAGACAGTTTTAATATGGAAGGGGAAAATGTGTCAGAGCAGGCTTAGAGGGCTGAAGGGCCTGTTCCTGTGCTGTATTGTTCTCTGTTCTTATTGAAACACACAGGATAATTAGGGGTTTAACAGGATAGATGCAGAGAGGTTGTTTCTCTAGGGCTCAATTGTACACAAGTTCCCAGAGTCAATTCTCTTATGCAAAATTGCTACAAAGCTAATTATTGCATTGTCATGCAATACAACGACATCTTTTTATTTGCTATTGAAAGTAGTAGGGGCAACAAAGTTCCCCTGATGGGAAGAAATTGGCTTTATTAGTTACAGTTAAACAAGGCCCAATTATTTATAGCAGGAGTTACTATACATGTTTGACATGCAGGAAGTGCTAAGATAAGACAAAGTGGTCCGAATGATAAAATTAGCCAGTAAGTATCCTAAATTAATGAATCCTGCAAACGTGGATGTTCTTTCAAGATTTCCCATGCAGACGGAGTTACCCAGGAATGACTTCACATGCAAAAAACAAACCAAGCCAAAGTCTGTCATAGAAATTAGTGAAGAAATCTGCAAGGAAGTGATACAAGATAAAGCGCTGAATTATGTTATGAATGGTTGGCTGAAAAAGTGCGATATTAAAAAGCTGCAGGAGTATCTCAAACGTATAAACGAAACAAGATCAAGACTGATTGTGGAACTCATTGCCACAGAAGGCTGTGAAGGCTGTGTTTGAGACTGAGATAGCTAGGTTCTTGATTAGTAAGGGAATCAAAGGTTACTGGGAGAGGGCAGGAGAATGAGGTTGAGAAAGCTCAAATGATGGAGCAGGGTTGACGGGCCAGGTAGTCTAATTCTGCTCCTACACCTTATGGTCTAAAGATTGTCTCCTGGGTGTTTAAGGGCCCCACATTTCAACAAGTGATCGTATGAAGGCTGTAACAGAAAATTATTTTGGTTTCCAGAGTTAAGGGAAAGATAGGAACTGTGTCTTAAAATGTGAAATTATCAAACCAAGGTCACATTTAAGAAAGGAATGAAATAAACACAGATCAACTTCTTCATACTGGAAGGCACAGAATATTTTATTTTAGGCGATACCTATCATAAGTGAATAAATGTTAATTCTATGCTGAATACCACAAATGTCAAATTGACTCAGTTCCAAAGAACAGTCATACTGGATTGGAAACGTTATAACTTCATTTCTCTCTTCAGACACTGTCCGACCTGCTGGGTTCCTCTACCACATACTTTTGTGAATAAAAACACGTGAAGATTGAGACATAGCAAGAACTGCAAATGCTGGAGTCAGAGATAACACAGTGTGGAGCTGGAGGAACACAGCAGGCCAGGCAGCATCAGAGGAACAGGAAAGTTGACATTTCGGATCAGGGCCCTTCTTCAGAAATCATATTTATAATTGAGGATTGAGAAGCTAGTTTCTACTTCTTGGGTGAACAGAAGTGTTGCTGTCAAATAACACTCCACCATTTACTTGAAGACCTACAACTACAGTATTTCTGAACAAATGGACATCACCCAACATCAAAATATACTGCAGAAAGAAATACACAGATTTTGAGAGGTCTTTGCATAAATAATTGCTCAATGACAATCTAGGCAGTAATTGATGTTTCTCTTCAATATAGGCTAGACAATCCTCTGTTCTATTACACATGACCCCATAGTTCACAACCCGTTGCTCATCTTATGTAATAATGATTAAATGCACTCCGAGGCAGAATTTCTTCTAATTTCATTTGTTCTCCAAGGCCACATGCAGCGGTGACTTCTAGAACTGGAATTTGATGCTGCAATTCATTCACATTATAGTGGCTTCACACAGTTTAGAGGGAGAGGACAGGTTTGGTTTTGTTAAGACTAATACCAATAACAAAGTAAGAGAAAATAAAATTATGTGGATAGTGTGGCTAAGAGGCATTGAAATGTTTGATTAGCCATGATTGTGAAAAAGACAGTGCAGAGTTAATGGCCTACTCCTGTTCCTAAAATTAAGATGACATAGATCAGTCATGAAACAAAGGCAAAAAAAAAACTTGTGTTCACAGTCCATTGCTGGTAACAAGTTCATGGTAGATAATTACAGAGGTGACAAGGATAAGGATGTGAAAGAAGTTGTTGTAAAGAGACTAGGTCAGAGTCAGAGTAATACAGCATAGAAACAGGCCCTTCCGCCCAAACTGGTCCATGCTGGCCATGGTACCCACTCAGCTAGTTCCAATTGCCCACATTTGGTCCATATCCCTCTAAACTCTTGCCATCCACTTACTTATCTAATTTTTTTTTTTAAATGCTGCCGGTGTACCTGCCTCAACCACTTTCTCTGGCAGCTCATTCCATATATGCACCACTCTCTGCGTGAAGTTGCTGCCCCTCAGGTCCTTCTGAAATCTAAGCTGTCTCACCTTAAACCTATGTGCTTTCACATATCTAGTGAAGATTGAGGAAAGACTCCATCAGTGTCATCCACATCATCTTCCCAAAAGTTGAAATTTGACAACAAAAAAATATACAACAGAAAGATCTTTTAAAGTTCCTTCATGGGATGTGGACTTCATTGACTGGGTTAGCATTTATTGCCCAGCTCTACTCACCCTGATTCTACATAACAGTTGTGTCCATCCAACAATTTTAAGGGTATAGGAAACTGAATAAGAACATTCATTATTACTAAATATTATGGGGGAGGGGGAGGGGAAAGAAGAGGGGAAGGGGGCTGGCATGAGGTTTGAAACTTAACACAACATACACGATCATTAAGGGACACAAGCTCAGTGGCTGATCAGATCTGAAGAAGGATCACTGGACCACAAGAAAACTCAAGTTTTCTCTCCACAGATGCTGGCAGACCTGCTGAGTTTTCTCAGCAATCTATGTTTTTATTTGTGGCTAAAAAGCACACGTGTATACACCACAATGCGATTTCACAGGTTTATAAACAGAATGATGGACAGGAAACACTAACTGACAACTGCCCTATCAATTTGAAATTGTGTAAGCCCATAATGAGACGAGGTGTGGTCGTGCTTACCCGACGCCAGGTCCCAATTCCACAAGTGTTTCTCACCTTCTGGAGACGGTGGCTTGTTCCAAGATCCCCCTGAAATTGGCACAGGGCCTGCGAGCGCCTCTGGAGCCCCTGATCCCACCTAAGCCCTCTCCCTCCTCCCACATCGACAGCACACGGAGCCCGCTCTTCCCGCCCGTCGCCATGCGATCCAGAGCTGACCCCACCCATCACACGTGACCCGGAAACTCCCTGCCGCTCGTCTCTCCCCCTCCCCCAACAAAAACGTGAACCATGGGAGGACTCTATTCCGCTAGTGGGAGTAGGAGGGTTTCAGGGGATTTAAGGAAGTGGGTATTTGGGCCTCTATGCTGAAAGGTTGGTAGAGTTGGGAAATGATGACAACATTTAGGAAGAATTCAGATGGTTTACAGTAACAAAATGTGGAAATTAGGATGAGATTTGGTAGGTGATAGGATACTGTCTTAAAGATAATGGGCCAAATGGCCATATGTTTGCTGTAAAGCTCAATGATGATACATGAAGCCTTGGGCTTGAGGTGAAGGTTCTGAACTACTGGCTGGATTTAGATTCTGCTGGAGAGTTAACGCTCAGGATCACTCCTTTGCCCCTTGGAATGCTCTGTGTAACATTGGGAAATGCTGTCCAAACTCTCACCAGCCATGATACCAGACTGAGGATGTCTTGTACTTGACACGGGGTGAAGGAATGTAGGTGAAGTTGTGTTGAGGTGATGATGAGGTTTGCCCTGTGGGGAGGATTGGAGGAGGTGAGTCAAGGGGCTGGTAACAGAGAAGCTGGAGGACTAGGGAAAGAAAGAAGATTACTGGAGATCAATGAGGTCTCATTGAGGTAGTATTAGAAGAAGTGAGCCCCTTTGGTAGGTGAGCAGTGGATGGCTCTGGGGTGAGGTAAAGATAAGGGAGTGGGGGAAGGCTTAAGAAGCAAATGGCCCTGAGGGTTGGTAGGGCGTGGAGAGGTCATGGCGGGAAGGGATGCTATGCTGGAGAAAATCTGTGCAAAGAAATAGTGGAGGGAGATCATGTTGAGATATTTATTAGGAATCAGATTGGTTTCTTTTAAAGAAGAGCAGTCTTAGAGATATACAGCATAGAAACAGACGGTTTGGTCCAACTTGTCCATGCTGACCTTTTTTTTCCTTTATTCATTTACGAGATGAGGGCGTTGCTGGCTAGGCAGCATTTACTGCCCATCCCTAATTGCCCAGAGGGTAGTTAAGAGTCAACTGCAATAATGTGGGTCAGGAGTCACAGGATGGCAGTTTCCTTCCCTAAGGAGCATTAGTGAACCAGATGGATTTTTCCGACAATCGACAATGGATTCACGGTCATCATTAGATTTCTAATTCCAGATATTTATTGAATGCAAATTCCACCATCTGCTGTGGCGGGATTCAGGTCCCCAGAACGTTATCTGGGTCTCTGGATTAACAGTTCAGCAACAATGCCATGAGGCCATCGCCTCCCTCTTGATATCCTGAAGTAATCTAGTCCCATTATCCAGCATTTGGCTCATATCCCTCTAAACCTTTCCTATTCATGTAGTCATCCAGATGACTTTTAACTTTTTTAATATACCAGCCTCCCCACTTCCTCTCGCAGCTCATTCTCTGTACACACACACCACTCTCTGTTTGAAAAAGTTGCCCCTTGGGTCCCTTTTAAATCTTACCATTCTCACTTTGAACCTATGCTCTCTAGTGTTGGACTCCCCCCACCCTGGGGAAAAGACCTTGTCAATTTATCCTATCGATGCCCCTCATGATTTTTATAAACCTCTATAAGGTCATCCCTCAGCATCCAATGCTCCGGGGAAAAAGCCCCAGCCTATTCAGCCTCTCCCTTATAGCTCAAACTCTCCAAATCTAGCAATATCCTTGTAAATCTTAATCCTTTCAAGTTTCACAACATCCTTCCTAAAGCAGGGAGATCAGAATTGTGCACAGTATTCCACAAGTGGCCCAACCAGTGTCCTGTACAACCACAACGTGACCTCCCAACTCCCATACTCAATTCACTGACCAATAAAGGCAAATGTACCAAATGCCTTCTTCACTATCCTGTCTACATGGGACTCCACTGTCAAGGAATTATGAACCTGCACTGCAAGCTCTCTTTGTTCAGCAACACTGTCCAGGACCTTACCATTAAGTGTATAAGTACTGCCCTGATTTGCATTTCCAAAATGCAACACCTCACATTTATCTAAATTAACTCCATCTGATCAAGAGATAGTAGGAACTGCAGATGCTGGAGAATCTGAGACAACAAGGCGTACAGCTGGATGAACACAGCAGGCCAAGCAGCAGCATAGGAGCAGGAAGGCTGACGTTTCGGGCCTAGACCCTTCTTCTGAAGGGTCTGCTGTGTTCATCCAGCTGTACGCCTTGTTGTCTCCATCTGATCAAGATTCCCTTGTACTCTGAGGTCACCTTCTTTGCTGTCCACTATGTCTCCAATTTTGGTGTCATTTGCAATCTTACTTATGATACCTCCTATGTCCACATCCAAATCATTTATATAAATGATGAAAAGCAGTGGACTCAACACCGATCCTTGTGGCACACTGCTGGTCACAGGCCTCCAGTCTGAAAATCAACACTCCACCACCACCTTTGAGGATACTCTGTGCTAATTTGACACATGATAACGTGAGTGTACATGCTTGGGAGGAACTGCTAACTTGAGGCCTATGGCTCCCAAAGCACTGTACCAGTTGGGGTTTTTCTTGTATTTTGCCTGAGTGTTTGGTAGAATAATCGTTGGTTGATTGCTGCAGTTTGTCAACAACTCCGCTAATGGCTGATCATGTGTCTATCAGGGAGGTTAACTATGTACCTTAGCCTTTCTTTGATAAGTAATTCTTCTGTTTGTGTGCTGTGCTGAAACTGAAAGCTGACTGGAAAAGCTGACAGGCTGGGTGAGGGAGAACTGCGTGCATTAATGACTTGGATTAGGAAAGTGAATGTAGTATACCGAAGTTTTGTGGTTGATGCAAAACTAGTTGGGAAGGCAAAGATTCTGGAGAAAGTTATAGACAGGTTAAGTATGTGGGCAAAAATCTGGCAGGTGGACTACAATGTGGGAAAATTTGAGGTTTTGCACTTTGGCAGGAAGAATAGAGGAGCTGAATATTATTT